TGTATGCGATTAGAGGCCAGTTTACCAGTTTGGCCACAATAGACGACATGCCAACTGGAACATGGTATTTTGTAGACAACACCTTTTCTATTAAGATAGCCAACTCTGTCCTTAGGGTGTACAAGCTGTGTAGGCAAGGTGGTTGTATGTTGGTGTGCTACTTGTATCTGATGCTTTTTCAGCTGTCTTTCGACGAGTTCAGATACATTTTTCACGTATGGGAGGGTCCGCAGGTGAATGTTTTGGTGTCTGGGTGGCCGTTGTTTTCGAGATACTTTTCTGTTTAAACTCATGTTTTATGCAATAACGTACAAAGTGGCGCGGCTACCCGTTGTGGGAAGCTAATTTGAAAAGGTATTTCATTTCTGCTTGATAACTTGCTTCATCAGAGCGGTGTGTTTTAGCTCGGTTTAGTAGGCTGTAGACAGTACTCCTCTTGTGAGAGATGGGATGGTTACTTTCAAAATGTAGGGTGACCTCGAAATATGTTTCTTTGCAATAAACTGAAGTGTGAAGGAATCCAGAAATGGGAGCTATCCATCAACCTCTGTTTCAAAAGGGAACTTAATTCCTGGAAATGTGAATTTAAGATTCGTGTGAAGCTGGTCTAATTGGTTTCTCTTGGCAATGACTAATGTGTCATCAACATAGCGCAGCCCTAGTTTTGGGTTAGTTTTAGAAGGGCTATAGACTCCAGTTTCTGCATGATGGCTTCTACTAAAAAGCCAGATATAGGCAAACCCATAGGAGCACCCTTCAATTGCCGATATTTGGCAAAAGAAAAGTTGGTTTTTAGACAAACATCAAATAGCTGGAGAAGAGCGTCTGCAGGTACATCAGTAGTGTAGGTCTGAAGGGGTTCTTCGGTGCAGTGTCTAGCTAAATCTAGTGGAATCGAGGTAAAAAGGGGGATTACATCGAATGAAACTAGTCTCTAAAAAGTACGCATTAAAGTTAATTCTCTTCCCAAATAATCTCACTTTTTTCAATTAAATTTCCTGGAATGCTCGTTTTCCAGCAAAGCTGACTGGTTTCGGTTGATTTGTTAGACATCTGAGCCAAATCTTTCCTTTCTCGTATGTTATTCATATTACCCGCCTTTCTGCGGACCCCATATGTTCGGAATATTTTTATTTACAAGTTAATCCCTCTCATAGACTTTAGGCATGATATTCAAAGTAAAGCTGAAAGAATCCCAAACGCCTTGTTTATCTCCCACCGAACTTGGTGCATGAAACTTGGAGTAAATTCTTCGGAACCGATCTTTTCAGACTCGGCTTAAAAGTTGGTATGATCATTTGAGTTGAAGTTCATCGGTTGCTGCAGACTAACCGCGTAATATTCGCAATCCGCAACAAGCCCACAAGCTAAAAGCCCAGTCACGCGCGTTCCGCCGATCCTGTGCCATTGCCTGACGCAGCTGCAAGGGGTTCGGCTCGCCAGCGGGTCCCCCAACCTTTTCCGTGTGGTTTCTGGTATATAAACCCCACTTTCACCCTGCCTTGTTTAAAATCCTTAGTGTCTTTACTTATGCCCTTCGCTATGCTGTCGTCTGTGGAAGCCAAGTCTACAGCTCAGCAGCCAAATGGGACATTTGCACTCGTTCTGTGATTGGAACCGATCTTTACCACGACTCCCATGTTACGTTCAACATCTTTTGTGGTCAATTTCTGACATTCCGATTTCACTCCAAAAAATGCAATGCCTATTCTACTTCGCATTCCTACTAAACACAAAGCACACCGGATCACACCTGTTTAGTCCATTGTTGAAGCTCTGAGCGTTATTATGGTCTTCTGGGTATACGGTTAAGAACACGCAACGAAATAAATCCTTTTCTGGTTGATCCATTTCCTTTTAGCATCGTCCCTGTAGACGTCCGCTTGATTTGCGCGCCTACTTTTGGACTGGACAAAATAAAAGTTTGTTATTATTAGCAAGTATTCCCGGCAGCCATTGGGTACAAGTTAGTAGACTTTTTGATCTATTAGCTGTAAGTTTTCTCTACGTCCTTTTTGCTGCTCCGCCCGTAAAAACTCCTTCTACCACCATTCAACGTATGACAGGTTCTTCATGCTAACTCATGTTGTTGTAGGTCCCACACCCTATCGTGGCCCACCTAGCGTTTGAACACTCAGTGACTGACTTCATGACGCTGCTCCGAGGCAAGGCGGCTGTTCTCACCTCCATAGTGGAAGCAAGATAGATCTGTGAGTTCTACTCTCATGCGAAGTTGTCATTGGTCTGTTTATAACTCCGTTTGTGCTGGATCTTGTTGCGGCCATCCATCATGGCCAATCTGGCGCCATTATTCAAGGCTCCGCTGCCTCAAGGTCATTCACGCCTTGCGACGAGCCATTCCAGACACGCTAGCCTGGGGCCACTCGATCGACTTCAGCTCGGACATACATGCGTCCACATAGGGTCGCAGCTGCCCATGCGGCCACTTGAACACCCCTCCCTCCTCCGTGCAAGCGCAACCTAAGCTAATAGGACACTACCCCTCGGCAAATGCAGCACTCGCCGACTGAAGACCACTTGAGCTTGGTCCACGAGCCTGCAAAAGCGGCTGCCACCGCTGTCCCGGGGACTCTCAGGCATGACTGGGCGCAGTCAACACCAGCCCTGGCTTCTGTGCACATTAAAGCCCTCATTCCGGTGCCTTCTGCCCTCTCCTCCAACATGGGATTAGGTCTGGCGATTGCAACGCATTGAACACTCACTCCCACAGCTTATTCCCCACAATCTTTGTAAAAGTGGATGTTTGGAAAATCATGCTATAGCTCTCCTATATGCCGAGAGGTGACGCAAGTCATGTGCTTTTACTTATAACAAAGGGCCGGACATGACATCAGTATTCCCCTTGCCCGCCGAATCCTAAAATACTTTACTCTTCTGTTGGTGTTTGTATCTTCCATAAAAAAATGCTTAGCCCAAACATACGATAGGTGGCGTGTGTTATCTTGACGAAGCCGTGAATGCCTCTAACCAAATCGGTTTTTCGCAGATGCCTATAATGATGTATTTCATTTTCAGCAATTCTAAGAACATTCTAAACCCCTTGACATGTTATTTGAATAATCCCAACATGCCTAAACTCCAGGCTGAAGACTTTGTCCTCGGGAATTTCGTTTGTAGTGGAGTGATATAGAAAATGAAGATGCGATCACTGGAACAAGAAATTTATTTGCCTGACGCTTCGGATTCTCACTCGAATCCTTCATCAGAGACATTTGCAAATAAAGGGGATGGTGGCACCAGGAGCGCAGTATTTATAGCACGTGGCTGCCGTGGGACCGTATGCGCACTGCAATTAACAGTTCTCGCAATCACCGCTGGGGTCATAATTGAGGCGGTGGTGGCTTGTCGGTCCGAGTCCGAGTCGTTAATTGCCGCGATTTCGTCATCCGTGCTGGTGTGAAGATTGCTAGGCAAACTGGCCCACTGT